AATCACATCGACTAAGTGACTCGTGGATTCCTTGACCGAGTTAAGTACTATGGAGTGACTACCAGAACTGGACACGACTCAAATACCTCAGGTAATACACATAAGTCATGCCAATATTAATAAAATTCAATCCTAACCTAAACAACCGATAACCGAGCATTAAGACTCCAAAATGAACTAAATTCAGAATTAGGAGTTAGGCTCAGCCAATCAACTTGAAACTTTACCACATTGTAAAGAATAAATAAAAACATAAACTCACCAAGTTTCAGCACTAAATTCATCCGAGAACATTTTTAAATAATTTAAGCAAAAACAGCCACGAAATCAGCATTTACTGGTTCACATAGCTACACTTCTAATTTCAGTCTAAACTTTTTACACAACATAAAAAATCACAAAATAACATGTTACTCCAAGTTTCAGCTCAAAACGCCTAGTGTAAGATTTTTAGTGAATTTTAAAATTTTCTGCCCAGAAACCTTTTTAAGTATTTGAACACCAAAATCTCAGAAATAAAATCCCGGGCTTGGCACACATATTCCACATACTCAGAGGCACAACATATCAAAAATTCAGCCCAAACGGATAACAACTCGATTTATGGTGAATTTATTACAGTTCAGCAGCATGCTCGGTTTAGAAAAATCATTACTCTCAAAATACAACTCGAAATGACTTCAAACAAAAACTAAACAATTAAGGACAACTCCAAGTACCTATAAATCTAGGATTTACACGAAACAAACCACATCATATTCAGTTCAAAAATAATTCAAAGTGACGGCAATCACTTTGATATCCAATTTGCAATTAAATAATAAAATCCTCACAATTACTCAACTAAGGCAAGTATTTAACTTCAAAGCACGTTCAACATCCATTTCATATAATCGAACATATCACATAATACAAAGAATTAAACAAAATGAGCCGAGCCTTGTACCGTTCTCGGGAATCGATCGAAAACGGAACGAAAGACGAGAGTTGACGGGCTCGTTTGCGTGGGACCTTCTCGCAGCGGAGAGGCAGCAATGGTAGCGGCTCGTCGGGTGTTCTGCTGCTGCGGAGGCGGGCTCGCGAGTGGTGCAGGGGCTCACCGGAGGGAGGGCTGCGGCTGACGAAGCTCGTCGCTTTGCTGGGCTCGCCGGAAAGCTTACGAGGGAAGGGCTCGCCAGAAGTTCACGTCGTCACCGCTGGAAAAACAAATAATAAGAACAACAAATAAATAATAATAATAATAATAATAATAATATTAATAATAAATAATCCTCAAAAATTTCATAGTTCACGCGATTAAACCGAAATCGCCGAACGACGAATGTTTTTCAATAAAACAATCGAGTATTCCAACCTTTTATTTAAGTAGACATATCGACCAATAAAACAAATACAACCGTATAAATAATATTCGATAAATAGAATATTTTGAGAAATTCTATAAATCGAGCGGGGCGTTACAGAAACCATTTTCGTGACCCTTGTAGCGGTGGTTATTCATCGTTGTTTTGACTTTCTAAACTCGGCCAAATGTTTTTGAACTCTTTTGATGAATTAAATTTTAACTCCTTTGTTCCCACCCGAGCGAGAAGCGTGATGATATCATTTTCATTTTAAAATTTTTGGCCAAGTTTAGCAATTGTGCGTCTAGTTTTTGTTGCTCGATCTTGTAAATGACCTGGTTTCATTGTTGTTTTTGAGCCCCAAAATACTGTTGTCCCTTTTTGATTTCTTCATGTAAATCTTATACCAACCTGTGCCTTTCATGAGGTATAAGAATCGAGTGTTTACCATATTGAGAACTGTGTCGAGGATTCGATCGTTGCGAAATCAGTTTTCGTTTTAATCGCCGATGCGTGAGTCTGTCATTGTTGTAGCTTTGGCCCGTTTCTGGTAACCTGAGGATCTCGTCGTCTTCATGCGAGTTATAATTTTATCTCCTCGGTATCTATGGTGCAAGTTTCAGCTAAATATCTTTCATATGCGAAGAGACATGCCCAATGTTCGAACGTCGTGCAATCTGTTTTTTTTTTTTTCCTGAATTGCCGCCCAAATGTTTTTCGCTTACCCTTGACTATTTCCTTTTGCATGGTAGTCAAGGTGAATTGTGTTTTCGAGACTCCTCTTAGTTGTTGAATTTTTTACTTTGGAAATTTCACGAGATTTTCCCTTCCTTGCGATAGGATCGAAATTTTATCTTCTGATTTGTTCTAGTAAATTTGAAAATCTTGTTTCATGATACCTCTTAGTCAATGCGAATATCTTAGAACGCGGATCCCAAAGCAATTCTCGAAAGAAAGCTCAACTAAGAGGAAGAAGGACGGTACACATTCAACTGTGATCGAGGCAAATGTAACTACAGATGGACGAGCTTGGAAGACAACACCTAGCAGATCGATACAAAGGACTCAGACGCATCTCTCAGAACAACTCGGTGTGACAGAAATCCTACGGACATTCAAATCCATGTCGCGAAGATATACACATCTATGAAGGTATTCAAGAAGAATCATTTCCATGAAGTGAAGTCGACGGCAATATTAAGAAGTATGTTTCCACCTTAAAGATTACGCAGAAATCTTTTAAGGAGGATAGTCGAGTCCGGAAAAAGCAAATCATGCGGTGCTGAATAGTTTTTGTGTGTAATTCCTGTCAATCGTTATCTTTCGAAATCTCGTTCCTTTTACTCCTTTTGGAGTTTAGGGAGAAATCTTTTGTTATCTTGGAACTTTTGCGATCCCTTGCGAATATTTGTATCTCTCGGTAGGAGCTGCTGATTTGGGATTCTTCCCGACTGGGGAACTATATTAGTGTCTCTATGAGAAATCTCACCTATCGAAATCGTTAGATCCGTTGAGTATGGTGTTCTGATGTTTTGGAAAGTAGTGGACTTGGAACTCGGACTTGCACACCGAATGTCATTGATTTGTTTTGAACCCAACTTTCGAAATTGTGGAATGCTAAATATATGTTGCCTTGTTGGGCCCTGAATTTTTGATAAATCCGGAAGACTATATTGTATTGGCTGTCTTGAATTAATAGCTTTCTTATGGAACCTTGAACTGAACGCCGACCCTGGCTGGGTGTAGCCACGCGAAGTGGTGGCCGAGCGCGCACGACCATGCTGAGAGACAAGAGGCTTGTGCACGGCCGACCGTTGACTCGCATGCGAGTTGCAGCCGCCATCACCGTACGCACGAACTCCCTAGGCCAGCGTATACGGCCAACCATTAATGTTTTTCCTGAACTGTTCAAACCGTTCCATGCTGGACCCTTTGGTTAGCCTATTTAAACTTTTCCTTGCAAGCCTTGAACCGAGAACTCCAAGTCCCACTAATATGTGTATACATCCTTAATCGATGATTTCTGATTAATGAATGTAATCATTGAGTTCCTATGCTTTACTTGAGAGTTCTCAAGTCGGCAATTGGGAATGTCGTGTTTCTATTGGTTAAGCGTTATGTTTGTGCATAAGGGTTGCGTTCGACTCAAGGAGTCGATATCTTGAGACTATGAGTATCTTGGGTCGTATAAGCATGATGGTGTCGTGTTGTATGTATGTAGCACCGTGTCGTGGTCTCTGATGGAGACGCACTGTCCGTGATGAAATCGTGGGCAAGTTATCAGTGTGACTCGATCATGAGACTGAAACTTGGCATCACATGTCCACCTTGATGGTGAGGTAGTCGGAGTACACTGACAATACACCGAACGACCTGTTGAGGTCTTGTGTGTTGTTAGGTACGAAGCAAGTCATTGATACTCATGAGTATAGACCAGACCAGACTGGGCCCTTGGAAGAGGATGTACGCCTGAGCTCGGGCAGGACTGATCACCCTCCCAAGCAAGAAGGTAAACATATGAGCATAGGGCGATAGGACTCATGGGAGCGGAATCGAGTTCCGGATGGTGAAGACCGGACCTCGTGAGTAGAAATTCCTGATCGAGTCTATCGTTTTCTTCTAGATGCGTGTTTCTTTTGCATTTCCGAGGTCGGAATTATTTTAAGGAGGATAGATTGTAGCGCCCCGTTCCATTTATAGAATTTATCGGAATATTCTGTTTATCGAATCTTATTTATAGGGTTATATTTATTTTATTGGTCGCTATGTCGACTTAAATAAAAGGTTGGAGTACTCGATCGTCTATTGGAAAAACGTTCGTCGTACGGCGATTTCAGTTTAGTTATATGAACCGAATATAATCCATTTGAATAATGGATTATTTTTATTTTTTTTTGCAAAAAAATAATGGATTATTCGGATATATTGGCATTATAATTTATTTTACTAAATTTGCCAAAGTGAATTAATTACTTGATAATGTATTTGTTAATGTGTACTAATAAATAGGTATTATGACGGTTGCGTAAATTTAAAGATTTACGGGTTGTCATATTTTATTTTTCCGAGCGCTGTGTATATTCGAATTTTATGAAGTTGAACCCGATAAACTGGTAGTCGAAACCGACCGATCCGTAAACCCGTTTGTTTATGAAGTATTTGGAATTATTATTTTTTTTTATTATTGTTATTATTATTTTATTTCAATGCCTAACAGTCAATTAAATACTTAAGTGTGTATTATTATTTAATTAATAATGTGTGAAATATATATTATAAATAATAGCCGAACCTTATTTTTAAATTGTCGTGCGAACCGAGTTATTTTATTTTGGCTATATCGATCGAAAAACTGATTAATCGAGCCCGAGTATACCCACGTGAACCGAACCGATTTTATTTTTCCGCTCAGCTCAATTAACCCGCCCAAGAACCGGTTCTCTCTAATTTAATCCGTGTGTGTGCGTGTGAAAAATTCTTGTGGATCAAGAATAGTCAAACCTGTCATATCTACTGATATGAATGAATCTCTAACTGCACCTGTCACAATGGATGAAATCAAAGCTGCTTTATTTAGCCTAAATCCAGGAAAAGCTCCGGGCCTTGATGGTATGAGTCCTTTATTTTTTTTTCAAAAATTTTGGCATGTTATTTCTCATGACTTCTGCAAAGCTATCAGTAGCTTCTTTGAGTCAGGGCAATTACTGAAGAATTGAAATCACACTTTGGTCTCTTTAATTCCAAAGTGCTTAAATCCCATTTCTCTCAAGCAGTACAGGCCTATTAGTTTATGCAGTGTCTCTTACAGAGTTATTGCCAAGATTTTGTCATTGAGAATTAAACCTTGCTTGTCTGCTTGTGTTTGTGCAAATCAATCAGCTTTCATTCCTGACAGACAACTTCTTGATAATGTGGTAATTGCTCAAGAGGCCATTCACTATTTAAATAGGCTGAGATCAGGGAGGAAAAGTTTCATGTTGATAAAATTGGATATGGAGAAGGCATTTGATAGGATTGAGTGGGGCAGTGTTAGGAAGGTTATGCTTAAAATGGGCTTTAATGCCAAATTTGTTAAATGGGTATGGATATGTATCTCCTCTACTTCATTTTCTCTGAATTTAAATGGGGAGGTGCATGGTTATTTCAAGGCTTCAAGGGGGATTAGACAAGGGGATCCTTTGTCCCCTTACATTTTTATCTTGATTTCTGAAATACTCTCACAATTGATTCATGCTGAAGTGGCCAGAGGGGGGTTTAAAGGGCTGAGAATTGCCAAGAAAATCCCTGCAGTGTCTCATCTCATGTTTGCTGATGACACTTTAATTCTTTGTGAAGCTGATGTGAGTCATGTGAACATTTTACTGGCCTTATTGCAAAAATATCAACGATTCACAGGACAGAAAGTCAATCTTAGTACATCTTCCATTTTTTTCAGTAAAAACTGCTTGCATTCTACTCAAAATGTGATTTGTCAGATGTTGGGAGGCATACAAATTCATAGATCAACCAGATATCTAGGTATTCCCCTAGGTATTGGTAGGTCTAAAAAAGAGACATTTGATTTTGTGCTTGAAGCAGTCAGAGCTAAGCTAGTAAGTTGGAAGAATCAATATCTGTCTTTTGCAGGAAATGAAGTATTATTGAAGGCTATTTTGGGTGCCCTGCCAGTTTTTTCCATGTCCTGCTTCTGTTTACCTAAAAGTATTTGCAAGGAGATTGCTAGGCTTTCTGCAGAATTTTGGTGGGCAACAAATGAAACTCATGCTGGTATTCATTGGAAAGAATGGAGAAAAATCACCGTGCCAAAGGATGCAGGAGGTCTGGGATTTAGGGATGTAGCCTTATTCAATGAGGCACTCATCCTTAAACAAATATGAAGAATTATCACACATCCTCACCTTCTGGTTTCTAGAGTCCTCAAGGGGAAGTATTTTCCTGAATGTTCTGTATTACAAGCCACAAAACCTTACAACACTTCATGGCTCTGGAGCAATTGGTTGCTAGTGAAGGACAAATTCAAAGATTTCTTTACTGTCATGGTGAGAACTGGTGCTAATATCAATGTTTGGCAGGATCCATGGATTCCAGGGCTAATAAATAAGCTGCCAGAGAGAACTGAGGTGGGGGTGAACCAAGTGACCTGGTGGTGGTAGGACTTGGGACAGAAGGAAAGTGGAGAACTGCTTCACTCCTTCTGATGCAGCTGTCATTCTAAACATCAAAACTCTTGAACCTCTTCTGATGGACAAATGGATATGGTCTCTGGATGGTAAAGGTAAGTTTTCAGTTTCTAGCTCATATTCTTTTCTGGTGATCAATAAACTGAGGGAAATGGATTTAACTGAGAGTAGTGGCTCTGCTACCATTGAAAAGAAAGTGAGGATCAGAAGCTGGGGCCTTAAAATCAAACAAAAGCTTAAGCATTTTCTTTGGAGATGCTACTCAGACCTTCTACCAGTCAATATGAGCCTAAGAAGCAGAGGTTTAGACTTTGATCCAGTTTGTAAAAGTTGTGGGGAAGAAATAGAAACTGTGAAGCATATGTTGTTGACATGTACCAGAGCTAAAAGAGTCTGGCAGCTGTCACCTCTGCAATGGGAAGAACCATCTGCTTCAGATTCCTTTAAACACTGGTGGTGGAGAGTATGTTTAGTGGACAAAAGGGACATTTCAGAAGCCAGGATTGAGCTAACTACATACATACTATGGTGGCTATGGAAGTCCCGGAACCTTTGGAAATTTCAAGATACTTGAATGCCAGATCATGCAATTCTTCAGGCAGCTTCAGGTGATTGGCAGGAATTCAAGACTTGCAGGCTCATGAAAGAAGTACAGTGATGAAGGTGTAGTTGATTCTAGGTCCTTTGGGTTCAGTAGAAATGCACTTTCATTTATCTGTATTTTCTGGCACTTTGTTTTATTGCCTGTAGTTTTAAAGATTGTTTGTGATTATTGTTGCTATAGGGTCTAGTTATGTCACTGCCTACAGCAAATCTTTATTGTTTTTACGTATTTTGAGTTTAGGTCACCTTTGGGGTGAGCTCCTCTGTATCTGAGTTTGAACATTTAGACTTCGGTCTCGGTCTGTACATTTTATATTATGAATGAAATCTATCGTTTTGAAAAAAAAAAAGAATAGTCAAACCTAGTTTATGTGCATATATATATACAAAACCTGTATCTATTTCTCTCATTTCATCAGAACCTTACGCCACAGCTTTGAGATTTCTCCTTCTCTCGATCGCATTTTTCTCCTTCGCCATAACAGATCTCGTCTCCCTCAACACAAATCTCTCCTCTCTCTCGATGTCTCTTTCTCGCAGAGAAAAGAACAGAAAAATCCTCTCGCCATCCAATCTTATCGCCATCCTCGTCATCCCGACATCATCACCCTATCGCCTCTGTCAAAATTCCTTGGCGTCTCGGCCATCTTCCCCCATCGATCTCAACCCTCCACCGGCAATCATCGAGGAGCCACCTCCCCGCCGTGAACCAGTCGCGGCCCTCTTCCCTTCGCAGCAACTCCGCCGCTCCCCAGTTCATGCAACGATTTTCCGAAGACGTGACCCTCCGCAGCGACCGCTAGCAGGCCCTTCAACGCCGCTTTTCTTCACGCGCCGCCATCGCAGCAACTTCCGGTGAGCCTCTTCCACCCTGAGCAGGCCGCTTCCGACAATCGCGAGCTCCTATTGCCGGGCGTTGAACCACCAGCGACAAACCCCTCACGCAGCGAACCACTGTCGGGGAAAGCCCCTGTTGCCGGCGAATCGCAGCGGACGATTTCTGGCCACTCACGGCCGAGTTATTAACAGCCATGACGGAGCTGCGTTTTTCCGATGGCAAGAAAACCCAAATTCCGACGACGTCGAGCAGCGACTTCCAGCCAGCCATCCCTCATCCGTCACCATTTGCGAGCAAGAAGCAGACCGAGAGGAGCCGCTGCCCTTTTCTCTGCGAGATGAAGCGCCAGCCGTCGAGCCGTTTGCCGCTGCCGCGAGCCGCCTTCGACGTGTCGTCGTCCCTCGTTCGACCCTTCCTTACGTATCGTTTCCCGAGAACGGTACATAGGCTCTAACCCGTCTCATTAAATCATATATATTGGTTTACGTTATGTATTTTAATTACGTGATGTGCTCTTTGCGATTTAATATACGCGATGTGATATTATGTGAAATCGGATTTATGTGTGTTTGTGTTTTTCGAGATCTCTTCGATTTTAAGGAATCGAGTGAGACCTCGAAACTTGTGTAAGTCGGTGGATTTTGGTACCATGTTGAGTCCTTGGCCTTATGAGAAGGCCTCGGACGAGAAATTACGTGTTATGAATTATGTGTTAAATTGTCGAGCTCGAATTTCGCTGTTTTAGTGTTTACATTATTAAAAATCACACACTGCTCTGATTGCATTGAAATTTTGAGGAGCATGTCTTATTCTGATTATCAGGCTTGTGCAAAAATTTCGTAAATTTTAATGTCCTGTAGCTATTTTTAATAAATAATGTGATTTCTGGTCAGAATCATGTTAAATGCTTAATAAATTGGTTCGTGTTTCAAATGTGCTGAAATTTAAGTATGTTATGCCTCTCCATGTGTATATGCTGTGTATAATTTTTAGAATTTTTGGACTAAGTTTGATATGGTTAATAATTTTTTTCCTGATTCTGCAGAAAGTTGTTTTATTTTTGATAAATCGGTTAGTTGTTGGAAAATTCTGAAACTTGACTGAGATGCTTGCTTTATGTGTAGATCCATCCTCTTAAAAGATGAGAAATTTTGGAGTTCAATTTTGTTCGGTTTTAATTGAAATTTGATAACTGATGAAACTTGTATGAATTTTTAAAATTAGTACAGTTAATGACCAAGGTTGAAACGATTATATGTTTTCACTCTCATGCTGCAGTTTGTGATGTTAAAATATCAGATCCTGATTCGTTCATTAGGTTTGGATGTAAATTCATGTTCGGTTTTGCTGTTATCTTGTATGAATTTTATAAAATAATGTACTTTGAATTTGAGGCTGAAACTTGGTGGTTTTCCTAGATACTGGGAGCTGTAATTTTGGTTAAAATTTCAGAGTTTAATTCATAGGGCAACCTGACCAACTAATTTTATGTGATTATTGGTTATTATTTTCAAATATGATTTTTTAAGTTAAAATCTGTAATCGACTTACTTTTCGTTTTGTTGAGTGTTTGACTTGGTCAATCCTTAGTTGGATTTATGTGAACTCCCCATATGTTGTTTGGTCGAGTATAGTGCCGAGTCTAAGTGTTCCAATGTCCACAGGACTTCACAAACAACTTAGTCGAATCAAGTTCAACTAAGTCTGATTTGTGTTTTCCGTTTAAGTCAATAAATTGATTGTAGGATCTTAACATAATGTCAAGCCTCGACCCACGTATTTTTTGAAATTTGCTATCGTCAATCCGAATTACCAGGTGGGTTGTTATTCTAAAATTACATGTGCAATGTGTGTTAAATATGTTTACGGTTTTGGCGTGATTTATGTATGAACGTGAATATGTAGCCTATCGATGTGAGCTATTATGATGGCCATCGGTACGGTTGTCCCCGTCGATGTAATACGGTTGCCTTGCGAGGCATGTCTCCTTAAAGACCTATTATAAAAGGTCATGTCCTTGCGTGGCACGTACTCTCGCCGTTAGGGTAATGAATCCCCTTTCCGCGACTATTATGAAAGATGTGCACAAGAGTGTTTATGTTTACGTTATGATGGAGATGAGACATATGTGATATTGTTTATGTTCATGCTGCGACCATGCTTATTTAACATATTATGAAATGTGCATTGCATAGTGTGAGCATTATTTTTCCTTTTATGCTCACTCTCACCTGCTCTTAACGGAGGCAGGTTAAGCAGTGGCGCGTGACGAGACAAGGCGAGTGGTGGTCATGCCTATTTATTATGCTTATTTAATTGCTTCCGTTTTCTCATGAACTTATGTTGGTATTGAACATGTTAGATTGGATTTGGAACTTGTATATTTTGAAAACATTTGGATTTAGTTTATGTTGAAAAACCTTTCTTGATATATGGTTGAGAATATCCTGATGTTTATGTTTACTGTTTATGTGGTTAATGAAAACCGTTGGAAAATCGGGTAATGAGTCCCCGTAGTTCAGATATGACTTGAACTGTGTTTTTGAAAAGAATGAGTAACGCCAAAAGTTTATGATTCGAAAAATGAATTTTGAAAATTTTTACCTTGATTTTTGGAAAAGCCATGGATTTTATTTAAAAAAAATCGGTTGGGGCGTTACAACTTGCCCACCCCAAGGAATGTTCAAAACAAGCGACCACTTGCCCACCCCGAAGCGAGATGTACCAAAAACAAGTGGACTTTATCTTTGAACACTTGCCCATCCCAAGGAATGTTCAAAACAAGTAGTCGTCCAGCCTGGAGACAAGAACTTTTTTCGACTACTTGCCCACCCAAGGAATGTTCCAAACAAGCGATCACTTGCCCACCCCGAAGCGGGATGTACCAAAAACAAATGGACTTTATCCTTGAACACTTTCCCTCCCCAAGGAATGTTCAAAACAAGCAGTCGTCCAGCCCGGAGGCAAGGACTTTTTTTTACCACTTGCGCACCCCAAGAAATGTTCCAAACAAGCAACCACTTGCCCACCCGGAAGTGGGATGTACCAAAAAAACAAGTGGACTTTATCCTTGAACACTTTCCCACCCCAAGGAATGTTCAAAACAAGGAGTCGTCCAGCCCGGAGCCAAGGACTTTTTTCGACTACTTGCCTACTCCAAGGAATGTTCAAAACAAGCGACCACTTGCCCACCCCGAAGCGGGATCTACCAAAAACAAGTTGACTTTATACTTGAACACTTGTCCACCCCAAGGAATGTTCAAAACAAGCAGTCGTCCAGCCCGAAGGCAAGGACTTTTTTCGACCACTTGCCAACCCAAGGAATGTTCGAAACAAGCGACCACTTGCCCACCCCGAAGCGGGATGTACCAAAAACAAGTGGGTTTGGCCTTCTACTCGAATGACCTGCAACTGAGGTCAAAGAGAAACAAACCAAACACAAAAAGATAGGAGAGTAATCGATCATTTTCGTTAGTGTCACCGAATGCATAATTACGTTGAACGAGATAATAATAAAAAATATCAAATATAATTTTTGACCTCCCTTTCATGATTGTACATGACGACCTGCTTTGCCGTTTACTCCCCGTTATCCACTCCCCACAGCAAGCAGTGTATGTAAATGTCCAATCCACATGCTCATGTATTCCCCTCAGCAAGAATTCAAAAAATACCATTAATCGTATTTTTCTCCATCATCCAATTTGCAATTCTAATAGCAATAATAAAAAGAGATGAATAAATCAAAGCAATCAAATTGGTCAACGTATTTTTGTACCCCACCTCAATCTACAGGCAAGTCTCTTTATCAAGATATGAAATCACATAAACACCCACTCAAAGTCAAAGTCGACCAGCATTCCACAAAATCATGGATTCAACAAACAATTACAACAAAACCATACTCCTCAGATACGAACAACCATTAAACAATTGCACCAAACGAAAATTCAAATGAATTACTCACAATACCAAGCTCCACGCAAGAAACACAAGAGATCAAATACAAACATCACCATCTTCTTGATTTAAGACACGCTCGAGCAATGACATGCTTACAAAATTATGAGTAGTCAATTCAAGCAAAATTCCACACTTTCACATGAAAATCCATATAAGAGGTTCCGAATATGTCAAGATATCAAATCATTTAATTTCAATCAATCCCCTTGAGCCCACCGATGGAAAATGATAAATGCACCAAATATACGTCAAACAAAAACTCAAAATTCCTCAATTCAAAATCACGACCCGCATTTATTATGCACAATCACAAAAATCCTCAATCAAATATTTTTTCCCTGGACAAGCTAAATAGTTCCTCCACGAATAAACTAAACAATTTCCACAAATAAATCAAATATATCCACGAACAAATCAAATAACTTTCCTCGAATAAACCAAATGATTCTCCACGAATAAATCAAATAATCCTCACGAGTAAATCAAATAATTCTTCACGAATAAACCAATTTTAAAATCCTCAAGTCCAAAATTTAAATTAACATCATACCTTGATCAACAAAATACTATCTCAAATTATCTTACCGTCCATATCGTATTATTCCAAACTCGCCATGAGCTCAACATTTGCATTGAATCGTCTAAAAATAGTCTCGGGCTCGAACTGAGGCCGTGAATGAAGCTAGTAGCACTCTGGGCTGTGCACTGACGGAATTAGGCTGGGCCAAGGAGACGGGCTGAGGGGTCCGGACCATGAAATTGAGCCTGGTGGCGTGCTGGGAAGGTGTGGGCCGCTCGCGGGCCAAAAACAGGGAGAGGCACGGGCTGGATGCAGGACCGGACGCAGGTTGAGGCGCTGGCCCTTGCGGGACGAGACGCGGGCCGACATGGACCGACGCAGGCCAGGGACTGTGAGACGTGGGGCCGAGCGGGCTGGACGCGGCCCGCGGATTTTTCCTCATCCTCCTTGGTAGGCTGGCACTATTGGGCCGAGACTCAAGATATTTGGCCGAGGGGCATGTTGGAGCTGAGAGATGTGTTGGGTTGCCTCTTGCTGGATCGTCCACTGGCTGGTCTACATGGACCAGCACCTGGTGAGCTGAAAAACGGACAGTGCGCGGATTTGTGGGCTTGGGTGGACTGAGTTGCGAGACCGGCCATGGACTCGCCGGAAATATCTTCCAACAAGTAGAACACCAGCTCCAGCGAAGACGAAAGTCAATGC